CATAGAACAATATCGGACCTCTGAAAAGTACAAGCATGCATATGTACTCAGTACTTGGTTTGGGCCCCTTTTGCAGCACTTACTGCAATTACTTTTGCACGATATTCTAATTATTGGAGTTTCACCTGTATATATATATTTTTTTATATTTTACACACACACATTTATTGTTTTCTCTCTTCCCTAGTTCAGACCTACTCAGCTAAGAAGATGGGGAAGCCACAAGGGTTAATTTCTAAAATTCTACATGAATCCTTTTGTTGAATGGGTTCCCCATAAACACATTAAAAATAAATTTGAGGAAAAAATGCCGAAGGCGGAGTTCATAGTGATGACACGGCCTACTTTAATTATAGATTTAAGCAAAAAAAAATGTAACAACTGCAACTGAAAGGGGAAATTCAATACAAACCTGTAAACTTAAGTTCAGCATGTAGTTCATCTGCAAAATGTTTGCCATCGTATATAGAGCCTCCTCCACGTCCTAAATAAGATAAGAACATTAAAATAATTTGGTATTGTCATTGTTCACTAGCGGCCGGAAGTCTTGTTAGTGAATACATATAGGTTGAGCCAGATGGCAATCTGCTGTATCCTCACTCCGGTCCCTGATGTATCTCCTTGCTGGACCCTGTTACCCCAAATCTTTATGTTCTATGTCACGAAAATGTGAAAACTTTGAAATAAAGATTATATATAAAAAAAACAAGCATGGATACTAACCAATGAAATGGTTTCTTTCAGACTTGGACGCTCCCAAAGATCTAGAGATCGCCAGCGCCACAGAAACAACCATGAACTTGCGTTGGATAAAGTCAGTAGCCAAAATCGATCAATACAGACTTGTGTACACACCAATTGGTGGCAGCCAAAGTGAAACTCAGGTTCTAAGAGATGCCAATTCCTACGTACTGACCGGGCTGGAACCTGGTAAAGAATACAGCATTTCACTCGTTGCTGAGAAAGGCCGACATAAGAGCAAACCGGCATCTGTGGTTGGACGCACCGGTAAGTAAAAGCTATTTCCAAGAATTTAAGAGCCTCGTTGGCATATCAGCATATTGACTAAGGATCAGAGACCAAAAAGTACGAGAGGTTGAGTAACTCTGATATCCTTTCAGGTCTTGTTTCGTAATGTTTGTTACTGAAGAACAATGTCATGTGCATCGAGAAATTAATCTTACAAATATTCATCTCATTTGAATTTCCAACCCGCAGAGTTTCTTTTGCAGCCTCTACAAGCTTAACAAGACCTGCCAACGTGTCATCTAGCACTGCTGCTGACAAAAAATAATAAGCCTCTCTTTCTTTTTATCTCCATTTTAGCTTTTAATCTGAATTTTGTTTTTTTTCTGCAGATACTAGACTCTCCTCGGGTTCTTTAATGCGCCGTCGCTCTTGTTAAAAATTCTCTTATGTTTTCTTTGCGCGACTGTTAAATACATTTAACGGAATTTTAAAAACCAAAGAGAGGAAATATACGTTTTTATAGTTTTTCTACTTCCCCCCCAGAACGGTAGAGCAGTAAGGGTTCCTTGGAGAACTGATCTTTTATGCAGACTCCAAAAGATTTGACCTTCTCAAGATTCTTGGAAGTCACCTGGTAGAATCATCACCGAGCGAGTAATGACCTCTAGTTTCCATACACTTTGCAAACTCTTGAGGCAATAGCCTGGAAGAATCCAACTGGGAGATTGACACTTCGGTTGCCATATCAAGTGATGAGGGCCACGTTAGGAATTAGATAATTTATGGAAGAACTATCACGCGTGGGCTAAAGCTGTCTTTGACAAGATACAGCATATAACTAGACATGTGTTATATATAATATACACGGCCTGTCCAAAAAAAAAAAGTCACACACTCTCATATTTAGTTTGACCGCCTTTAGCTTTGATTACGGCACACATTCGCCGTGGCATCGTTTCGAGAAGCTTATACAATGTCCCAACATTTATTTCCATCCAGAGTTGTATTAATTTTTCACCAAGATCTTGTAGTGATGATGGGAGAGTCTGACCACTGCGTAAAGTCTTCTCTAGTACATCCCAAAGGTTCACAATGGGGTTAAGGTCTGGACTCTGTGGTGGCCAATCCATCTGAGAAAATGTTCCAACATTTATTTCCATCCAGAGTTGCATTCATTTTTTACCTAGATCTTGTAGTGATGATAGGAAAGTCGGGCCATGGCGTAAAGTCTTCTCCAGCACATCCCAAAGATTCTCAATGGGGCTAAGGTCTGGACTCTGTGGTGGCCAATCCATGTGTGACAATGATGTCTCATGCTCCCTGAACCACTCTTTCACAATCTGAGCCCGATGAATCCCGGCATTGTCCTCTTGGAATATGCCCAATGTGCCATCAGGGAAGAAAAAAACCCATTGATGGAAAAACTTGGTCAATCAGTATATTCCGGTAGGCAGCTTTTTTTGTCACATGATGTTGCAGAACCTAGACCTAACCAACTGAAGCAACCCTAGATCGTAACACTTATCCAATGGAAGGCTCCAACCTATTTGCTTAGCTAAATCCAGGTCCAAGAAGAACAGGTTCTATAGTTACAACAAGCAAATCCGGCCCCACAAATATTGATCAACAACAGGCAGAGCAACCCCCGAGTCAGAAATGGAGCTCTATTTTACTGAGGCCAGACAATGTCTCCGTATAGGGGTAGGAACCAATCAGAAGTAAGCTGGGGAAGCAGAAACCAAAGTGCAGGGTCTTGTTCCACAGGAGCAAATGATCATGCACATAACGAAAAGCAGGCAGGAGCAGCTCAGTGAATGTATATGAAGGGTGGGGTTAAACAGGTTCGAGTTAAGTCCTAAGAACAATTAAATAGATATGTCTGTCATTAGGGATGCACTGATATTTTTTTTTGGTACTCGCCGATACTGAACACCGGAAGTCCCATTAAGGAAGCCAGGCGGCATGTAATGACTCGCCACCCGGCTTCCCGAATTAGCAGGGAACCCGTCTCCATGATCCCTCATCACCTGATGACGAGGGAGCATGGAGCCGGCTTTCTGGCCAATCAGGAAGAAGGGCGCCGTGTCTGCTGCTTTTCCTTCTTCAAAGGCTGGTGGCCGGGGTGGGCAGTAGTTAACTGTAGCAGAAAGAGACAGGTGTCCTACCCTGCCATACAGGGCTTCTCCGGGTGGTGGGTTTGGGTACATTGTATGGAGATTAATGTAAATATTTGACTGTTTGCCAGGAGTTCAGCCTTGAAGGAGAACTATGGGGTAAGTGCTTTTCCCCGCAGTTCTCCTCAGGGTCACGGGAGGACATATTCTAGCGTCCTCCCGTGACCCAAAGCTCAGTATATCGCGAGCTACAGCTCACTATATACTGAGGCCGCCGCAGCCGGGACAGATCCTGACATTACTGTCGAGATACACCCAGCTGCCTGATTGACAGCTGGCACTGCCTATCTAGAGGCAGAGCCAGCTGTAACCCCCCTCTCCCCCATCCGTTCCGCCAGTCCACGCTGGGGGATCGGAGCGGGGAGGGGGGGAATCCCTGCAGGCAGCCAAGAGTGACGGCAGGGACAGGATCGAGAAGTGAGCGAGTGCCGGCATGTATTCTCGCATTCCACGATCTATTGAGCTGACGTGTGACAGTTTTATTGTCACACGTCGGCTGGAACTATGAGGCTGAGTGGAAATCACCCGCCTTATACTTCTCCTTTAAGCGGCGCAAGAAAAGACTATCAAAGCCTAATCCCACTGTACAAAGTGGGAACATCGTGACGTTGCTGCCTGTCAGCCACAAACTTTTACAGTCTACGGCACAAAAAATAGCGCTCGTAACCCATTTTCCGCTGCACGTATAATCCGCTTAGAAGGGCCGCGCCATTGTCAACTAAATCAATCTAAGAAGCAACAATGTTATTTAGTCCGGTCTGGGGAATCGCAGACAGCTTTTCTCAATGGCTGAACACAAGGAAATCCTGGGAGTGTTAAGGAGCTCATCTCTTTCATCTGGTCTTCAAGCATTCATCATGTGAGACAAGCGCTGCCTATCCGAATCAAGCAGAGCCTGTCATCCATTTGTCTGTGGTCCAGGCGTAGGCCCCCGAGGGTCCCCTCTTAGGAGAATCCATGTGCAGCAAAGTGGAAAAAAAAGTGATTAAGATTTAAAGACAATCCTAACAAGTCCGAAGTCTGAAGCAAGCCTTTGTTTTAAGGCGAGGCCTTCTTAAATTTTATTCGGGCATGGGAATTTTAGCTGAGCGGATTTACTACAATGCCGGCATTCACTGTGCGGTGAAATGTATTCACGGAAGCGTAGGCTAATTTATTCACAAGTTAATATCGGCCTTCCATGTGTAGGGCAAAGGAAATGGGAATAATGACAAACTCAATATGAATCTGAATTAAACTTTGTTACAGTGAACGCGTTGCATGGCCTTTTCCTGTTTCCTAAGTTGATTTTTTAACTCATTTCATTGGACTTAGTAGTTTACTCCAGCATAAAATAATATAACCTTTGGCACAACTCATTTGTCTACAGGTCTTAAAACTAGTAGTAACATGCATGGGGGTATGCTCGTAAATCTTTTGCTGGGTGAATGCCGTTCGCACTGCATTTCCACCACTAGATGGAGCTGAGGAGCATAAGAATTTACCGCCACTAGATGGAGCTCAGGTGCAGAGGAACTTCCTGCCACTAGGTGGAGCTGAGGAGTATAGGAACTTCCCGCCACTCTATGTGTAGGGCAAAGGAAATGGGAATAATGACAAACTCAATATGAATCTGAATTAAACTTTGTTACAGTGAACGCGTTGCATGGCCTTTTCCTGTTTCCTAAGTTGATTTTTTAACTCATTTCATTGGACTTAGTAGTTTACTCCAGCATAAAATAATATAACCTTTGGCACAACTCATTTGTCTACAGGTCTTAAAACTAGTAGTAACATGCATGGGGGTATGCTCGTAAATCTTTTGCTGGGTGAATGCCGTTCGCACTGCATTTCCACCACTAGATGGAGCTGAGGAGCATAAGAATTTACCGCCACTAGATGGAGCTCAGGTGCATAGGAACTTCCTGCCACTAGGTGGAGCTGAGGAGTATAGGAACTTCCCGCCACTCGATGGAGCCAGGGAGCATAGGACTTTCCAGTCACTAGATGGGGCTGAGGAGTATAGAAACTTCCCGCCACTAGATGGAGCCAGGGAGCTTAGGACTTCCCAGTCACTAGATGGGGCTGAGGAGTATAGAAACTTCCCGCCACTAGATGGAGCCAGGGAGCTTAGGACTTCCCAGTCACTAGATGGGGCTGAGGAGTATAGAAACTTCCCGCCACTAGATGGAGCCAGGGAGCTTAGGACTTCCCAGTCACTAGATGGGGCTGAGGAGTATAGAAACTTCCCGCCACTAGATGGAGCCAGGGAGCATAGGAACTTCCAGCCACTAGATGGGGCCAAGGGGCATAGGGATTTCACACCACAAGATGGAGTCGAGGAGCATAGGATCTTCCTGCCACTAGATGGAGTCAAGGAGCATAGAAACTCCCTGCCACAAGATGGGGCCAAGGGGCATAGAGATTTTACACCACGAGATGGAGTCGAGGAGCATAGGAACTTCCCGCCACTGGATAGAGCCAAGGAGCATAGGAACCTCCTGCAATGAGATGAAGCTACTGAGCAGAGGAATTGTCCTCAACTAGATGGAGCCTATACTCTTCCGCTCCATCCTGTGGTGGGAATGTCATGCGAAAGGCATTCGCCCAGCAGGCTGCTGGGTGGAAGATTTATTAATAGACACCCGTGGTATTGCAGCTGAGGTTAATACAACTACAACACATTTGATTAGGACAAATAATTACCCATGAGACAATGACTAATGTATGAATACATTTATACATAGACCTAAGAACAAAAGGCCATATATTGCATCGTACCAGTCCTTAGATATGGTGGCTGCATTTGATTTATCTTTTTGAGGCTTTATTTCCTTTATTTTCACCTGAAGATCCTGCCAGTAACCCAAGCCCTGTTTTAGGGGGACAACGCTCACTCATTGTACTGGGTCTATGGAAGAGCGGTGTTGTCACCCTAGAACTGGAAGTGTTTTAGGACGACAGCTCCCCTTCTCCTCCGTAACAACGCAATTTTGTTCATGAATGTGGAGGCCAACATTCATGAAGTTAATATGTTTGGGGGTTTGGTTGTGTTTTAATTGGGTGTACACCTTAATGGAACTGAGGAGCACTGTGATACACCAATATTCTGTTTTTCGGTACAAAAACACAATGACGATTTTCTTTCAGCTTGATATTTCCATTTAATAATATACTCAATCTTCAATCCCTCTCTAGGTTTTCATAACTGCACCAAATATCTTGAAATGTCCTTTGATGTCTGATTTCTTTTCTCTTAACATTAACATTTATTCTGTTTCCAAAATTGTTTGGACCTCCCACAAAAAAAAAATAACAACTTATTGTCATATTCAGAAATTCTGCGTGAGCTGGGCGACTTGGTGGTGTCCCAAGTGGACTGGGACTCTTTCAGGCTCACGTGGATGGCGCCAGACAACAACTATGAGAAATTTGTGATTCAGGTTCACGAATTAAAGGACGGAGAAGAACCACAAGCCGTCGAGGTTCCTGGAGAACTTCGCTATCTGGAAGTGCCGGGCATGAAGCCGGCCACAAAATATAACATCACGTTACACGGGGTGATTCAGGGACAGGTCACCAAGCCTCTCTTTGGAGAAGCTGTTACAGGTACCAAACACTGGAATGCTTCACAATCACCTTGGGTTGGGGAGGGGAGGTCACTTCTTCATTTGCTACCCACGAGCTATACACCTAGCTTATCATTTGCATCGGCACTGGCTTTTTTTGGGTTAGAACTTTCCTGCTTCACGTCTGCTGCTGGATCACTTGGCTGGGTTGGTATGATGAGAAAGGGCACATCGAAATTCGGTTTTTGGACAATTCATATGAGCTGGTTGAGTGATCTGCTTGCTTGTTTGCTTGCTTGCTTGCTTGCTTTGCGCTTTTCACAAAACAGCAAATATAATGACCAAGAGGTAAAACTCTTACACGGTTATTCACAAAGCTGCCGAAGGCAGCCGAGTGAATAACCGAGCCGAAGTGAAGTGAGCGAACGACGTTCGCCTATTCATTCCGGCCCAGTACGGCTGCTTTCAGCCATACATCGGCTGAAATCAGCCGTACATTGGCTACCTTCGGCTGCCTTCAGCCAGCCGAAGTGCAGAGGGACTTCAACTCAGCCGATCCAACATCTGGATCGGCTGAGCCGAAGCTCTGGCAACTCACTTGTTGCCGTTCCCCCCTATTCTCATAGGGGCCAAAGGGCAGTAAGTAAATAGCCGAATGCCACTCGGCTCGGCTATTCTGCTCGGTACCGCCGAAGAATTGAAAAGAATGAAGAAAAAAAACCAAAACAGTTGATAAATTATTTTAAAAGTGATGAAAAATAGGAGAATTAAAAAATATAGATTTTAAAGAAAAAAAACAAAAAACAATTGGGTGGAGCTTGCTGGCTGGCCCAACTGTTTCCTATTGGCCGGCACCTGCCAGAGTCTTCTAGCGGGTCCAGGTGAATGAATAACAACTGGGCAGAGCTGGCCGTGACATCACGGCCGACTCCGCCCAGTTGTTATTGTTTAATGACAGATCAGCGTCCCCAGGTCTTTTGTGGATCCTGACCTGTCATTACAACTGGGCAGAGCGAGCTGTGAGATCACGGCTGGCTCCGCCCAACTGTCATTTGCGGGGAGAATGGCCAGCCTTTCGGCAGGCTGTTCTCCCCACTTCGGCTGTCACTTCGGCTCATACGAGACGAAGCATATGCTTTCTGCTCGGCTGCCAACGGCTGCTGTATAGGCTATTGTGAATAGCCCGTACAGCAGCCCTTCGGTTCGACTAAACCGAGGGGCAGAGAGAGCCGAAAAGGGCCGAAGGATCAGCCGAGGCTACAGGT